AAATATGCAACCACCTGTTGATTTTGCAGCCCTGCATCACAAGAAAATTGTATTGAATCAACTACTTCCCAAAGTTACATATATAAAAATGTATATGAGCAAGCATTGAAGAATTTTGGTGGGCTGTAAGATGAATCAGCATCGAGACGATCGAGATATTTAGCATAAGTACCAATTTGAAGTCAGTTGACTACTCTGTGTGCGTATTTCATATATGTATATTTGGCAACGCCTAATTGGGGGAAATGATAAACCTTATGCCTGGTCTCATTTATCCTAGTTACGACTCGCCAAATATGTATCAAATGCGCACAGGAAGTAGTCAGCTCCTTCTAGGCCTAGGCTAGGAATAGTCAAAGAGCCAAGTAAAACGTGGCTATGTGACTCATTCATAAACTCTAGAATATTAGATACAGATACACAGCTAATTATATTAAAATGCAAATAATATTAACGGCTACCTAACATGAATAGACTACGTATATTATGAAGCATTAAACAGCTAACTCAAATTTATATTTGTTTGTGTAGATAGGTGCAACAACTAGATAAGTAAACAACCGCCCGCATGTTGCTCATTGATAGGTCGAATATTAGATACATTTTGAATGTATGTATATTAATAGTAATAAATGCCCCTATATATAGTTAAATTTTGATAATACTTTGGCTATAAGTTGATAGTTTCCATATATTTAAAATAAATATATATCCTCTTTCTTCTAGTATTGAATCTCAGAGGAATATTCTTACAGAGTAATCTCATTAAAAACATACAAATAACCATCATGTATCCATATGTAAGTAGCCTTTTAATCACATTGTATTTTTACTCACTAAAGTAAGAGCAATCACGACATTCTTTGAATAATGTAAATTTTTTTAATTTCCTGCCTGGAAAGAATAAAAAAATATAAATAAAAAAATGTGGACACGTCAGTCACAATAAGTCATATTTTAACATATCGTGCATATCGAGTTTGCGATATATCAAATAGCTCTCTTTGGGGTGGATCCGGTTACATGAAAACTTTTGTTGAATGAAGATTTGATACACTTCTAAATGTCTAAAACTGTTTGATGATTTCGTATATTTATAAACATATACATTATATAAGCTATCAAAGGGTCTTGTCCTTTGACAATGTCAAAAAGTATATTTATGTTACATATATTTTGAAATTGACGTATGTATGTATGTACTCATTTATATATGCTTACATTCCTGTCCCAAATTGTATTTTCTGCTAAGCCAATGGTAGTTTCTTTGATAAACTTATTTATTTTGCATATAGTGTCCATTCCGCCTATTCCATTGTTTTGACTTTTGTAGGGTACTGGAATGCCATATTCATCGCATCCATCCACTAGTGAGCAACCTAAGGTGCCGTTTGGAGTTGGTTGGGTCTCTGCACCAGTGAAGCAAATCGTTTCACATTCCACGCCATACCCACTGCCAGCCACACAATCCAATCAGCAGCAACAAGAACAACAGTTCCAACAATACCCAAATACCCAACATGCCGGCGGCGTTACTAGCTGCCCTTATCCACTCACATCAGCACCATACCCTGGTAGCACACTATATCCGATCAATCATGCACAGAGTATGCCGACCAATCAGCATAGCCAAAGCCAATTCAATCAGCATTCAAATGCAACTTATTTAGCTGGATACACGCCAGCCATGACGTCAGCATATGGATATGATTCTTCTAATTATCATGCCCAGCAGCAGGGTCGTGGCAACGTACAGAGTTTTGGGCATGATCAAGTGCAGCCACAGGGGTATGGGCATGAACATGGGCATGGGTATGGTTATAGTCATGAGCACGTGCAGCAGTCACTCAATCAACGCCTTACGGCTAACAAAGAGGTTTGTTCTTCCATGTGCAAAATCTCGCATTAATCAATCTACACTAAGTCCAAAAATATTATTAAATTTAGTTCATTGTCAGTTGGATATATCTATTTATTTTAGGGAACTCCCACTTTGTTGCCGGCTCAAGCCTTTGATCCCGTCAAGGATGCGCACGATTTGCGCAAAGCGATGAAAGGCTTTGGCACAGATGAGGATAAGCTCATCGAGATCATTTGTCGTCGCAACAACGAACAGCGCCAAGAGATCCAGCGCCAATACAAAACTCACTTCGGCAAGGATCTAATTGAAGACATCAAAGGGGAGACGAGTGGTAATTTCCAAAAACTACTCGTCGGCCTCTTACGCCCAATCGTCGACTACTATTGTGCCGAGTTGAATGATGCCATGGCCGGTCTGGGCACCGATGAGGAAGTTCTAATTGAAATACTGTGCACCTTATCCAATGTTGAAATTCATACCATCAAAAATCAATATTTGCGTTGTAAGTTTCACTTGATTTGGCATGTCCGTCAGACTGTTTATTAATGCTTTATGCATACTTATTAAGTGTTTGGAGCACACTTGGAATCGGAGCTGAAATCGGAGACCTCCGGTAACTTCAAGCGCTTGCTTATTTCGCTTTGCGCTGCGGCGCGAGACGAGAGTGGTCGTGTGGATCCCAACAAGGCCAAAGAGGATGCTCGAGAGCTACTCAAGGCTGGTGAACTACGTGTGGGCACCGATGAGAGCATGTTCAACATGATACTTTGCCAAAGGAACTATCAGCAACTAAAACTTGTAAGCCTTTTATCAAAATGTCCCCTGAGCCAATCAACATTCGATGCAAACCCTTTTCAGATATTCCAGGAGTACGAGAGTATAACTGGACACTCGCTGGAAAAGGCGATCAAAAAAGAATTCTCTGGCGATATTATGGAGGGCCTTATCGCCATCTACAAGTGTGTGACAAACAAGGCAGAGTATTTCGCCTCGCGCTTACACAAGTCCATGGCTGGCATTGGCACCAATGACAAACAGTTGATACGAGTTATCATAACACGCTGCGAGGTAAATCTAGACTATATACTTGTACATATCTACATCCTGGGACACATGCAAATTCATTTTAATTCACGAAATGAAATGAGTATATTGGTTTTGTTCAACGTCTGATCGTCTGTCCCTACCTACCGATAAGTGCAAAATGTTTCGTCGCTATTAAAGCAAGAGAATTAATTATATAGTGATTTTTACAATCCGCCCAGTACGGGAGTGACGTTTTCCGGTATCTGAGAAACCATGGTAATTGCGTGTCGAATACTAAATTACTACTGATAATTATTATGATTACTGGCAAATATATATATATATATACCGATTGGGGGCGTGGTGAATCGAAAATTTGATCTAGCAGGGCTTGTTCCATAATTGAGTAACGGTAACGCCCGACCGCAACGCTCTTAATTGTTTCAATTTATCCTGCAGATTGACTTGGCTGACATTAAAGTGGCTTTCGAGCGTTTGTATGGCAAATCGTTAAAGAGCTGGATAAAGGTAAGCATATATGTATGTTGTACATACATTTATTTATAATTCAATTCGTTTTATATACTCTTATAGGGTGACACTTCTGGACATTACAAGCACGCACTTTATGCATTGGTAGGAGAGCAGCGCTCATCTTAAATTTATGAACAATTCTTTATTTCTACTATATTAAATATTATTGATTACGAAGTAACTATTTTATTTTAATAAGACAATGGAATTCAAGACATCCCAGTGCAAAATAGTATCTAAATTGTTCAAAGTGTGCCTCGAAGAACAATAACCCTTAAGCATACGCATTTATATTTAGAAGCAAATAATTATCTTTAGACATTGTAATGAAACGCTTATCTTATCTAATGTCAATTTTTTGAATTGGAACAGCTTTTTAGAGTCTGTATGCATTACATATATGT